ACAGCTCCTATGTGTTCTGACGAGTTTGCAAGTCTTAAACACACAGGGGTGAGACCAACCAAAGCAAGCTTTCAAGAAGAAAATACTCCTTTTGGGTTCGGGTTTTTTTTGTTTTCTTTTGTTTGTGAGTTTTTTGTTTTGTTTTCTTTTTAAGGAAGAATTTTCTGCAAGTTTGTTCTATTTGGTAACATTTCTAAGTTGCTTTAGGCTCATCCAGAAACTTTAAATGCTCATTTAGGAAACAAGGGTTGTTCAATGCCATTATCTACTGAAAGGAGAATAAATAGTTTTCCATAACTGTGACTATTTTCATATTTAAAAAAAAAAAAAAAAAAGTTACATGAGATTCTGCTCTCTTCCAAAGCAGAAGCTGAATTTAGCAGACTCCTCTGCTGAATTATTTCCTCTGAATTACATATTTTGGACTATGATGTTTATTAAGATTAAATAGAGCAGGCAGAGGGCAAGATATTTGAGGAAAAGAAGGTGAAGTCAGACAGACTCTCTCAAGCTGGATTATACACAGGTACAGATACAGGCATTACAGGACTAGATGAGGAAGTTTGAAAAGGACCAGCAACTGTCAAGAACAAAAGGTTGTTGAGATGCCTACTAATAAACACTCATATCAATGATTTAACACAGCTCATAAGAACTGATGCATCTTTCCTACAAAAGCCCTCATAGACAGTTTTCCCTTCACAACAAAGGGCAAGATAACAAGTAGTCTGACTGAAAAGGTCAAAGAAATTGTAGAAGTGCAAGAAAACTTCTTCATTCAGCTGCAAAGCCACCAAGAAGAAACCCATAAATATAAATTAGTGGGATCATTTAGAGAGTCCTCTGCTGAAAAAAAGAGACTATCCAAGGGGACTCAAAAATCTTAAATGACACAGAAGAAGCTTGAGTGAAAAACTGATGCCACTGAAGTAAGTTTCCTATCTTCTTTAACAAGGTCGTTTCAAATAATGGCAAATTAATCCTGTTTGGCTGGTAGCATAATTGCACTGCGGCAGGATCTCAGATACTCAGTCTTGATAACCTAGAATATTTTCACTGACCAAATACACCATCAGCATTGGAAGAAAAACACTAACAAAATAGTTCAAACGTTCCAGAAGCATGCTACAAAGTGTTCGTTACGCGCATCACCAGGTGTACTAAGATTTCTGCACAGTGCAAGTTAGCCTACAAACCTTCGATCACCAAAGCAGGTTCCACAAAGATCATTAGCTAGAACCTAGAACTGCCAGATGTAAAATAATATGGCTTTAAAAAAAAAAAAAAAAAAATTAAAAAATATTAAAAAAATCAAGTCTGGTTTTCCAGCTTACAAAGTTTCAAAGTTTCCTCTGTTCACACAGCAGCAGTATTATCTTCTCCATTATCAATGAAGAGGAAAAAAAAAAAAAAAAAAAAGTAGATACATGTATATCTTTTGAAATAAAACAAGGATTACCTTTCAATGTTTCCAGTAAGTTTTTGGCCACAAACCAACAGATGGCTTCAAAGAAAGGAAATTTGAAAAGATCCGGGGTTTTTAGCCTCTTCTCCATTTCATAACACCTGAATAAATAAAATATTACAAAACATGAACAATTTAGTTACTAAATTCATTATTCAACTATATAATCGTTCAAACTGACACAATGTCTAAAATAAAATAATCATGGCCATGATAAATAAAAGAAGTCAAGTCTCATATAGTTAAATCCCAACAAGACCACAGACAAGTTTGAACTCTGGTCTCATCCAGGCTCTGACCTTATCAAGTTTGACTGCAGCAGTTCTAAGAATAAAGTTGGACTTCATAAAACTAGGATACAAACCCAATGTGTGATCTTTTAACAGATGGAATTTTATCAGGATTCCACTTTAATAAATAAAAACAATATATTTAAAAGACAGGTCCATATCTTGGACAAAATCTAAATACAGCTGCCCTCAGAGCAATGCTGACTTGAGTAGGCTAATTTCAACTCTGTGTCACACACCTGGGGCTTGCTCAGTTTTGTTTTACTCACTTAGACTAATTTCCAAAGTAGAGTTTTTCTTTCTCTTTCATTTGCTTACATTCTTGCATACCAGTCATTTTAATTTTGAAACAAACTTTGCAGAAGTAAAGTAAGAGTATGTGCTTGATAAATTCTAACTGAAAATGACACTATTGTCTGCTTGAGAGCCTGTACCAATCTCATCCTGGCTAAAAGCATGAAGAAATATATTTATTAAAGGACTACCCTACTCATTGAGAAACAGGTATAGGAAGAGCTGAGACTAACCTGAGCTGCATGCCAATGTTGAGGTTGTGCAAAAAGTTTCCTCCGAAAGCCATACAATCCTGAGACGTGAGCACAGCGTGAATCCAGCCTGAAATGACAGATTCTGAAACTTAGTGCGTACATATAAATTATTGTAAGAGTGTTTTTAAATACATATGTAAGTAAAAAACACGGTACCTTGAAATAAAAAAAAGGCAAACAAATTTGTATTCTGTGCTATAATAAGTAAATTTTAAAAGAATATAAATTCAAAGTTTTAGAAATCTAGTGGAACTGTGGTTTTCTGGAAGTGTTAAGATTAAGACATTTTTCATTGGAATGCAAGACTGCCACTGATTTTTTTAAAGTAAAAATTCCCACCCAATTTTCCATCCAATCAACAAAAATAAACAAGTCAGGAGAGTGAAATTATACTGAACAGAAGATACACTCACAAAAATAGAAATTATATTCCTTTAAATATTTACATGTTGCTTACAGTAACTAAGCCATTTGCTCAACCTAAAGTAATCTAGCAATACTGAAGTTTCTCAAATAGGAATTCAGATGTGGTTCCATAAATTATTCTAAATACAGTCATCCCAATTGCAGTGATATTATGATCAGTTTAAAATCCAGTCTTGGCACTCTGACTATATGAATTTGTCACGTAATTGAAATACTGTCCCTATGAACTCTATAATTGAACATGGCAAAGTATGGCAAACATTATGCTACTAATCTAGCTGATTACTACCCCATAATTTCAAGTACACAAAAGAACATATGATATTAGCTTCCTGGTTAAAAATAGTTATTTTAAAAATTTTAATGGGCAGCTTTAATGTAAATTAACTACAGTTTCTTCTTTCAGGATTTTTTTTATTTCGCATGCATATATATGATATTTTGACAAAAGATGAGTTGGCCATACATTTGCAGATTACTTCATGGTCTGACTGACTGTAGCTAAGATGTACAAAAAGGAAGCTTCCCACAGGAAGCAAGATCAGCCCAAATCACAAGCAACTAAAGATTGCAAATTACATAAAATCCATGCCCCAATTCAGCTATGACCAACTAGTTCCAGTTGTTGTGGCACCATATGTAAAAAGACCTGAAACCTGGCAACCATGCTGATTAAGGAACATACTTACTGTAAAGCCTGGGAAGGAAGGAAGTTACAGAATGGTACATGAGAAAATGTAGAATACAGTGATGGATGCAACATAAAAGGGTTTTTTTAATTAGTATTACACATTGTTCAGTTTTACTTCAGTTCTTTGAGAAATGCAGTGCAGTGAAGATTGCCTTATACTGCCAGCTGTATTTTGCATTTTTTAATATGGTTTCAGTTTTTCACTCTGATCATCATCACTGCAGTAGATTAATACCTCTGACTCTCCAAGGGAAGATGTGTGTTTCAATTCTTTACGCACACATCTCCACAGACACTGATAAAACTGATAACAAAGCCTCATCACTGTTATATCAACACCAAGGATTTTTATGGCATGCCTCTATCAGCCAAAAGATTCAATTTTTCTACATTCCTACTCAATGTTTTTATGCTGTAGTTTGATCAAGTTCCATGTAACAATGCAAGAAAATTTGGTGTAGACCACACAGAATATCCTAAATAATATTTAAATAACTCTTAAGAGCCTCCCAGTAGGTGCTATGCATCTACATGCAAGATTGATTTTAAATCAGAAGACTACTCTGAACATATTTCAGCGATTATAAAGTAATTATGACATCCACTAGCATCAGTGTAAGCAGGAACAGCAAAGTGATTTTTCAGTAGAGATCAGGGTGTTTTTTTTAAAGCCTTTAATCAGTCTTACAGAATTTCACATTTTTAAACACCTGCCTTGAAACCTAGTATAAGTCATTGGTTCCTACACTACACTCCATCACATGAATGTGCGTATACACATACGTCAACACACATTTACATTTAAAAGAATAATTTTATGTGTACACACACACAAATTCAAGTATACATTAGAACGTAATACTGTTCTAATATAACATTAGATACATAAAGTATCTAATGATACATAAAGTATCATTTTATGATACTTTCCTTTTTGGCCACATTACAGTGAGAGCTCAGATTCAGCTGATTACTTGGGAATCAGTAACTATTTTCAAAGATCTATGCATCACAGTAAAGTTCTCCATTCTGTAATTTTGCATTCTTTGTTCACAGATGTATGATTTTTATGCTCAGATGAATGGAAAAATCAATGTCATCTCCTGCCAAAAACATATGGTTTTAAAAAGCTCTGAGTGTTCACGAATGTTAAGTGCATATATAGCTTCTCACCATGCAGTATTTATTCTACTCAAGCCATGAGCTAGAACAGTAAACACTAAACCTCACAGGGAGAGAACTGAGCTATAAAAAAAAAAAGTTTGTCTAGGAAGTCCATGACAGAATAAGGTATTGAGCATAACCTTCAAGGCTTATTCTAGAAGTAGAAACATGCACTATTTTCTTTCTCCAATGTATTTAAAGCTTCCTCCAATCAAAAAGGGATGGTAGTACCCAGTACAAATCTTTAATAACAAAATAATTAAAAAAGTATTTCTGTGAATGGACTGGATACGTGAATATACAATAAGTTAGCTGGCACTTGCTTTATTAGCAAAACATGGTTTCATTTATTCAACTTCTAAGTTCATGGTATTTGGGAGTTTGGGTGGGGTGAAAGTGATGTGTTTTGTTTGGAGGATTGTTCTGTGGGTTTTTTTGTAAATAAAAAAGTTACATTTTGGTATTTCTCTTTTCTTAAAAATGTTCTGTAATTTATTAGATACTATTAGCTGATGGCTGTAAGAACTGGTAAAGAAAATCAGAGAAAACCATACCTCTGCATCATTTTTAAAGAAAGCTGCTGAAATAAGTTTACGAACACTACAGTTTCATAACCTGTATCTACAAATATCCTTTTATTTTCAATAAAAAGAATTAACACATGAATCCAATTATATATTCTTTAGTTTTATTTAGGGACAGTTCCATTTTGATCAGAAGCTCCACAGGCTCCACCACAGTTTAGATTTCCCTGCTGACAGGAAAAAAAAAAAAAAAAAAGGAAAAAGAGAAAACCCCACCCAAAAAGCCCACCCATATTTTATTTTTAATTCTCTAGCCTACAGCATAAGTAGTCCATGTGATGTTTTTGTAATAATTTCACCTAGTGGTTCTTATAGTATTCAAAAGCTGTAAAAATTGTAACATATAAAATTAAGATAAGAATTCAGTCTGGATATCTATCAAATGGTGAACAATGTGTCCCCTATGAATTAGAACTGTTTTCATGATATCTAACTTCAGCTTTCATTTGTTGTCTTATAATTGGGTAATAAGCATCCTTTCTTTCCCTGATAACTGTTACTACTGTCAGGCGACCTAAAAAGCTAATTACTTGTTTTGAAAATCTGAATTCCTTAATTTTTTATTATTCTCTTGTCCAAAATTATAGGAGAAATCAAATGTTGACGATGCAATCATTTCAGGATACCATCAATTCCTGGTGGTTAAACATGCAAAGTCCTATAACTAAGGGTATTATCTTACCTGTTGGAACAAATAAAGTGTGTCCTTGCTTCACAACACATTTGTAACATTTGTCAACCTTGTCCCCAAAATATACTTCACTCTGGGTGACAGATGAACTCCAAGACTCATAGAGAGCCAAATTTTCATCAGTGGGCTTAATCAAATAGAATATCTTCTCACCCTATTAAACAGAAATGCCAAATAAATAAATGAATGTCCTCCTGAAGTCCTACTACAACCTCTGAGTCATTCCTAATTAAGTAACAAATTGCTTTAAGTGATATGTAAGCCATATTTCCACCATGGAATGTCAAGAGTTTTCGGAACTGTAATCCACCAAAAGCTGAGCCCAGTTGGTGTTTTATGATGTAATACCAGCAAACAAAACAAAGCTTTTCATTGAAATGTAAAAATAATCCAGCTTTTATAAACAATTTATGGATCTGTGCACACGTCACATGACAAAACATAAGATGAAACCACTTTGCCTCTTCTATGACGTATACATGGTGAAAGTTTGTGAGAAGAATAAACAGTCGAGTATGTCAATAATTTTTATTCTATTAATTTCTTCGTACCAAAGCTCCACTATGTCACCTACCAGTCTACTAAAATGATCAGTCAACTAGCTAACAGTCTAGAAGTCACCAACAGAATAAAAACATATCACCAACAATCAGTAATTCACTTTAAAGCTCCTCCCCTGGCTTTTTAAGCACAAAATTTCATACAGGAGACGATGCCATGGCAGAAGGCTTCACACCTAAAGAATATTGTTTCACATAGTAATAAATCAAGAAGCCTTCATACCCAGAGAACATGGTACCAAACTGATGTTCCTCCAAAATCGATATGAAAATCAGTATAGCTGTCCTGGACACCCATCAAGCAATACTTCTGAACAAAAGGCTTAGGGAAGACAGAATCATCTGGCCAATAATTTTCCACCCATGAAAGCTTTCTGGCAATATCTGGTACTTCCACTAATTCAGACATCCTTTTAAAGAAAACAAAAAAAGAACCATAAATATAATCAAGAATAATCACACCTCTTTTTAAGTGACAGCTTTAAATTTGTTTCCTACAAAATTATTACTTATGAATAAGTGGTTTATGCTCACATTACATCATAGTAGGTATCTACATAAAATATGCAGCCTCCTGTCTTTCCCACTACAGACATTATATTCCTACACATACTGTTCAGCTTAGTGAAAACCACTTCCTGTGTTCAAGGAATTAAAGTCGATACTCACTTTGTGTCCGAGAATTCCAGGCTGATCACATTCAATACTTTTGGTCGGTCAGGATTTGTGAAATACTTAATATAATTATGGAGCTTCATTTTACTGTCTGCTTGCCTTGCTACATCTATTACATCTATCACTTTGTCACCACCTGTGAAAAATAGGATGACTTTCTTAAACCTATCACAGATAAAAACAGCCAAGGTATTTAAGAGAAATTCAACTTTTTTCCAGCCTTTATCAAAACATTTCTGCACAAAAACTCCACTACCAGTATTCTCTTGGAACAGAGGCAGATCAGTATAAACAAACTCCTTAGTAGGTCTAACTTTAATTGCTGTAATCAGCTAAGGACAGAATGAAAATCACTCTAAAAATAAGTTCTCTTTCCAGTGGCTAACAAAGAAGAAAAAGAGCATTATAGAATGACTGCAACTGGCTTAAAAAAATGGGTTTGTGGCTGCATTGGAAAGACTAGTGTAGAGAAAGTTACCAAGGCAGAGCTATTCCTCACTCTTCCTATTAATCATCACCACAGCACTTGAATATTTAGCACAAGGACCATTGAGAATTATTTACAATAATAAATCCTTCTGTTCACGGCTTGTAATTCTTAGCAAACTGAAGTAAACTTGCACCATGATTAATGTTAATGTTAAAAACCATGCAGGTACTCCTTTGCAAACATTCTACAGCCCACCCCCACCATCCTTATATACATGCATAACTTTTAATCACACAGTAATTTATTTCGCTGAGTAACTAATTGCCATGACTGTGCTTCATTTCTGAAGACAACAAGGATTGGTTTACATATCATGTATTTTAAAGTGATACATCTGTAGAACTAGACAAGCAAGAAGCCACCTTTAGCCAAGAGAAAGCCAACAACATCATTACAGCAATTGTTTTCTGTCCATCTAGCTATACAACAGTCAAATTTGACAATTACTTTTGGAATGCTGGAATGTATGTAGATGTACATTATTAACATAATTACTTCAAAATTACAAGTTGATACTAAATCACTAAATTCCAGTTGGAATAATAATTATTCAGTTTTCTTATTTTTTTTATTTCAGTAATGGAAAGGTAAATCTGTAGCATTCCAACTTATTTCTCCAAACTGCAGAACCTGGCAGGTCAAAATATACATATGAGAATGAAAACATCAAGTTTCTCTAAATCTGAAGAGGCAGTATTCCAAAGTATTAAAACTATAGTAACACTTTAAAGCAGAACACGTTACTGTTTATAAGCATCATAAATGTAACAACTTTCTATATACTACATACTTCTTGCATTCCGGTGCCACTGTAAAATGTTGATGGACATGAAAACATACTTTCAACTCACATCATTATATTAGATTATCACAAGAACATGGACAAGGCCATATACAAACTTCTCAACTGTACTATATGTTACAGGAAATGTCACCCTTCTGTTGGTTCAGTCTCTATTTCTTTATACTGCATACCTACATGAGGTTGAAATGGTTAGACTGTCAAGAGAGCTGATAAAGAAATGGTCCGTGGGAAGCTCTAGCTTTCCTGCTAAATGAAGCCAAGGTAGGAAATTGTCCAGCAAGGAAGACTTAATTCAGAAATGTCAGTTTACTGAGCCCAAAACATCAACTTTTGTAATATCATAACCGATGATTGAACTTTTTTGATCATCATGATTTATTCAATTCCCACAAAGAGAACAATCTTAAAAGTCACTATACTTTACAATATGAAGCAGAAAAAAACCCCATGTTTAGCTTGCATGAAAATTAACATGTTTGAAAGCTGAAAAGACTGTACTCCCATCACGTATCTACCACACAAGAAGAAAGAAAACACAAACAAATAAAACAAACAAAATTAACTCTCATATATTTAGTTCTAGTCTCTGCTAGTCTTCAATTTACATATATATTTAGCATCCTTATAATAAGCTCTTATAATCACGCAAATATTTATTTTAGTTTAAAGACAGAATAGTCTGTATATACTCCAGAGTGACTCTTACCTACATAGCGTTCCACATCTAAAACGGAGAAAGTTGGCGGAGGAAGTCTGAGCCCCAGACCATCTAATTTAGGAACCATAATTGGAACATCGAACCCATGTTTCTCCAAGTATCTTTGTGTCAGCTGGCTTCCATGCATTTTCAAAATTACTTCATCAGCACTGGTGGAAAGAAATAACGGAACATTAGCAAAAAAGCATCCTCCAAGCACTAATGAAAGAAAAAGAATTTAACTATTCTATGATTCTATAACATAATTTGGGAGAGAACAAATAGGAATGGCTACATTTGAATCCAAAAGAAGTGGTCCCAGTACTATTATATTAAGCATTTAACTGAAAGACAAAGAAAACTGTGTAAGCCAGCATGGAAATGTTTACTGTCACACATAACGTGGGAACTCATATGGTCTTTCTATATGACTGAGGACACAGTCGTTTAAGAGAATGGGGAAACAGAATTCTCAGAGAAGGCATTAAAGTACATTTTGGTAACAACAACAACCACCACCTCTTTTAAAGAACTGTAAGTCATTGTGTTGCAGTAAGATAGCTAACCACAACTCAGGATGAAAATACAACCATGTTTCTCTACTTTCCTCCAAAGCATGGGAGAACAGATAGACTATCAGCTCACATAAGCGTTACTTGGAACAAAAGCTGAGGAATAGACAGAAAATAATTCTGACAGTTCAGAAAGAAAAGCCACCACTCATGCTACTACCCTCACTCCCCAACAAAAAAATAAAATAAAATAAAAAATCAAAACCCAAAACCTCCAATGCTTTCAAATCACCCTACAGCAGTCCCAACAGACAACGTATCCCAGTGCAAAACGGGAAGCTACTGCATGAAGATGCAAATGTATCCACATGAAACAGTGACTGGGGATGGGGGTGGTGGTAGTGGTGTTAAATTCTAAAAGAGAAGGAAGTGATCCTCAACCTTCCTTTTCTGAAGCAGAGAAAATGTCAGCTGTCTCCTCTAAGACACACTCAGTGACGACACATCTCTCTTTTTTTCACTGAAATTTGAATGTAAGCTCTGGTACCTTGGGAAAGAGCGAGCCCGCAGCTGTTTAACAAAGGTCCGTGTTCCAGCCTGCACCGGTTTGGAACCATCATCCAACTCTGTGTAGTCATGTCTGTGCCAGTTCCTCCTCTTCTTCACTACAAGTTTCAGAAGGATTACATTTTGAATTAGTTAAATCAGATGGCTCAGCTTAGCAGTCGTCCCGCCAGTGAGCCAGACATGCCTCAATCACATTACTATGATTAACAACCTTATGGTTTATGCAGAGGACACTCCACCTGTCTGCAACACATGAAGTCTTCAGGACACCTGACAGTAACCCTTTGTACTTCTATAGCTCCTTCTATATGAGAACCTCAGTGCACATTATACACAATTTAAGACTGCATACGCAGTGCAGCACAAGCAAACAGCAGCAGCCTAAAAGCTGTCCAAATCTAAAAGGTCAGCAACAAAACTAGGAAATTAAAGTTCTATTTCTAAACCTCAGACTTCCTTGTCTCTTCAAGATCCACAGACTTCATTTTATATATTACCATAGAATTAACAGCACCTAATCCCATTGACCTATCTCACCATATGAGCATACTCATATCCAGTCTGATAATATTACTACTACTCACTACCATACAGTGTTTGAAACCAAAGCACTTTTCTTATATACACTGCTTATGTCTCCATAACAGTTTTGGGTGTAAAGGGCTTTGGGCAAGCACAATACACATAACACAAGCATTGCATCCCAAAGCAATCAACATCTGAGTGGTTTGAAGCTTTAATGCACTGTTACAGCATATTAATAAAGAAAAATCAATTAATCTTCTATTATAACTTTGGGAGTCTGAAACTGACAGTTCAATAGCAACTAAATCGCATAATATTACTAATATTAAGCAAAAATTGAGTCATATCTGCTGAGGAAACACAGGAGAAGGAAAAGCTACTGTTCCTTGTCAATACAAATGGTGTTATACAGGCGTATATAAAACAGTCTGTAATGCAAATACAACACCCAGCTAAACAATTGTATTAGCAGGAATTGTAACTTTATGGAAGAGCTCATTCTTAAGTTTACCAAAGTCATGATGTACCCAAAATCTAAAAAAGTACCAGCAATACTGAGAACACAGCTAACAGTAACAGGAAGCTAAGGACTTGGGGTGGGGAGGGGGGTGGTGTGTGGAAAGGTGGTTTCTAAAAACAAAAATAAAATGCTGCTTCTCCAGAAAGCAAAAACCCAGTTGATTATATAGGAATAACTGACATTTTATAGTCATTAAACAGAAGAGGTAATTGTTCCTATTGACAAGCTGTTTCCTACAGACGTGACAAAATGTACCCTTTAGAAGATACTTAAGAGAATAAACTGACATTTATAGTTATTTGCTAACCTGAAAACCAGTGCTGAAGAGTCTGCTTAATAAGCCAGCTACCCAAATACAGTAAAACATCATAAATAATGAAGCCAGGCTTATTAAGTTTTCAAAGCTATTTTCTCACTCATAAATAATGACACAAGAAATTAGTGGCTAATACTAATTTGCAACAAAGTAGTTTCTCATAAATTCACTACCATTATAACAGTTCATTAAAACTGTAAGATGATACAGCTGCTTATGATAATTTATAGCACAGGTCCAACTTCTAAAAATCTACCTTTCCAACACTTAAAATCGGAAATTGAAGTTATTCTCTTACTTAGTACTTGGCAATGTACTTGCATACAGTAAATCATAGAATACCACTTCTATGGCCTGGTACATCATCTCATATTGTCAGCTCAAACCAAACATTGGCACTACTACCATAGTCAAAAAACCCCCCAAAGAACAGGCGGGAGGATATTTACAGGATTTAAGAAGGTAACAGCAGAAAGTAATGTCCTGACAATCACAGTCCAGTTAACATTTACTGCACCTAGTGCTCTCTTAAAACCTCTAGAGTCTGGTGGTAAACCTGACATCAAAATAGAATATGAAGACTCTAAACCAAATAAGCTAAGAAAACTCCACAGTGGATTACTATTTTTTGAAATTGCTCTTATTATTATAATTTAAGATTTTAGGATGAATTGCTTAGCATTTTATACACATGGTTGTTTACTAAAGGTCTTTTAAAGTTGTTGCTCTTCCAAATCAAGACACGGATTTCTTTTTTGTTTGAAACAAGAAGAAATTGATTGGTTAATTTGATCTTTACATCTAACTATACAGTAGCTTTCTTTTCATTATTGGTACTTTTACATCACTAATTTTGTAGGGTACTGAAAGTAACCATCCACTTGATAGTATGAAGTGTATTTTTCTAGTATATTTTTAGTAATTTTTTTGCAGTATGTTGTTTGATTAGATGGGATTATACACACAAGCATCTTCTGAAATCATAGATACACTCGCCCTTCTAAATCAAATAGAAGAATTTATGTCTCTTTCAAAACTTCTTTTTCACATGATTTGAGCATCCTGGAGTATTGCTGCAACAGTTGAAGTCATGAGACATTATCAGTCTCTCCAAACACTGGAGTAAGTAGAGCCCAAACCACAAACTCTCATAATTTGATTCTGACAGCTTAGCTAAGAACAGTTAATAAAGTTCCAAGTGAAGACTTATTTCAATATATCACCTCTTGCTTGGGTTGCAAGTGACATGTCTGAACCACCGACTAAATCTAGATGATATACTTACCTAAGGCAATATGAAGTAATAAGGATAATTTTTACCACAGATTCTTGTCTTTTATAAAAGACTTCCAACAAAAAAATCACTCTTATCTCACTGTCAAATTGCTACAGGTGAAGCTAGCAGCCTCTGCACTATAAGAAAGGTTATTCACAGGCATCACAGTAAAGCATTATAGTTCTCCCAAAGGAACAGAAAAAAAGTTTTAAATTTACTAGCTTATTAGTTTGAAAGTCTGATATGATCCCCCTTCTACTCCTCCTAGTCCCTCTATGCCACAGGAACCAACAGGCAGAAAGGTGGGGAAAGAAATGGCTGTTACTTGTATTCTGATTTACAGGAGGGACATGAAGATTTTTAACTGAAAATGACACTGGAATACTAAAAACTACAAGCATGTAGAATAATTAACTTACCTTTTAGCCTCTAACTTGAAAGTACCTAATCCTGAAGTCACATACTGTGTAAGATATGTATCACACAACATACATCTATTAAGTAAGAGATGCTTTATCACTTTATTCATATTCCACAAGACTACTGCTGAGGATGCAGTGGTTTTAAACTTATTTCTAAATGGTAAATTCAGCTTTGAAAAGATACTAGATCTTAAGACACTGTTAACTATAAATAATTACATGGTCTTCAACAGAAAACAAAACAACACTTTTTCTAAACAATGATTCCCTAATTTACATTCTTTTGCTCTCTGTCAAGTGCAGATTGCTTAACTCTGTGCACTTTGCTTTCTCTAATCTATAGCAGTGGTTTATATTTTATTCTATCTGCATCTCCAGATTAAGGAACCTTTCAGGATGGTTTGTTTATTTTGTGGAGGTTTTTTATCAGCTCAGAGTTAGTCATGCAGAACAAGTAACTTATAAATAATCAAATCCATCTTGCTTGTTCTTTTGAACAGTCATTTTTCAATTGTATATGGCTAGAGAACAGACTGAAAGTGTAAAATAAAATCTGAATAACCCATACTTACTCAGAGAAGGTCCATGGAGAATTGCACAGTTGGGACAATGGTATAGGTCAATGTCAACAGCATGGTGCTCCTCTACCCCAACACAGCTGGAATGATATTTTTAAAATGTTAATGAGAATGCATGCAAGAGTTGTTTTTCAAGATATATATATATGTATATATGTATTTATATATAAAAGTTCTTACCAGAATACACTTTGTCTATAAAATCATGATACCAAATTATCTCAACCACTGAGTTGCCACACAAGTTTTGAGTAATAATTTTTTTATTGCTGAACACAGATTACCATTTAAAAAAAAGGAAATAAGAATCAGATTTCCTTAAAAATGAGGACACAATATATACCATTATCCTCAACCCACCAAAAACTTTGATCCTAATTACAGGAAACAGATTATGCAAAACCACTTAGGTGATTTTCTTTACAAAAAGGTAAGATTTCAAAAGAATTCTGAAGTCTGTGCTGTCAATTTATAGGAGGAGTCATAGATATTTTTCCTTGGTTTTGCCTTCCCCCCTCCTGCCCCACAAAAAGCACATAACTAACTCCTAACCCTAAATCAATGAAGAATACCTTCATATTCTTCCTGAAAACTTTACACTAGCTGTACTAGCTATGCAAGCTACAAAAGTGACCACACAAATCACTCTGTAGAAGTGTTTCTGTTTTAAACAGCAACAAGTATTTCAAAGAGCACTTGAGAGATGTAATGTTTTCCCAGCACACATTTTTTCCCAGATAAAACAATCAAAGTGGGATTGAAGTTGAAAATCTTTGTAACAGTCATGACAAAGCATCTACACAGCTGTATTATCTAAATAGTATAATTTTAAAGTCAAAACTAAGTCTATTTTCTTAGAAGTTAAAACACTAGAGGTTAACTGCATAAGATGTGCTTTTGCACAAAGTTCTCAAGGGTGAAAAAAAAAAAAAAAAAAAAGAGGTAATCCCTACTTGGCTTGTAGGACCTGAATTCTGGCAGACTTCTTTCTCTCTGAAGTTCATTGACACTTACAAAATTGCTGACTTTATAATACAGATGCAAGACTACAGCACTCAACATTTATACCAAAATTAGGTAGTTTTATTCAATGCATTCTGGTAACTTGAACAGTACTCCATTCACGCAACCCGCTTCATATTGGAGGTGTAATGACTGCTTAAACACTGAAGCTTTGAAATGATCCAGCTACATGAAGACTTTTTGCTAGCAGCCTAATGCCAAAACTGCTGACATGCTCCAGTTAAGTGTCAGGACATGCTGCCAAAACAATACACTAAACAGTCTAGCATTCACAGCACACCAAGGAACAAATCAAATCTGAAACTGAAAAGCATCTCCCATGTAACTATCAATGAGAAGTTCACCATTCTGAAATCCCTGTCAACAGCTGGTTCTTCTACTCTTCCATTCACTACATAGCACATCAAATTTCAAAATTATACAGCTTTTTTATATACATGCTATTTTAAAATCTAAATACAAAACTCAGCTGCCACAGTTCATCACAATTCTTGCAATATTTAGTATCTGTTTTAAGACCACAACTACAGGGATTGTTATTACATGAAAATTCATTTGACATATAAACAAAGAGAAAGGCAGAAATGGTCTTTAAAAATGCATGTCCCATTTCCTTCTGCTTGTGTTCCCTCTCTTTTTATAGAATGGATGAGTAACTCAATCCTATGTATTGTAAGAAAATTGTTTTAAAATGTACACTCTAGAAGCCCCACATGAAAAGGCTCAGTTTATACAACGTTCAGAATCCCAAGATTTTAGCTACATTTCTGAACAGCTAAAGATATTTATGTTGGACTGTATTTTGGTCATGTTTGTATAATTATTTAATGAAACAGTATGCCATGGAAAAACTTCACTTATTCCTTGTCCTCCTTCTTGGTGTTTATCTGACACATTCATCATCCCCCAATCAGATTATCTTGCTGACTAACACTAAGAACTTTGCATCAAAGTCCAGTAAAAATCCTTTGACAACTGTTGGTCATATTCTGTTTATGAATGTTATTTTTATTGTCTCTTATAGAATGGTACACAATGTGCTGAAAATAAAGTAGAAATTTTGTTAAGTACCAAACACTTTCTCTGACCTGATTAATTCTATAACCTTTCATTAAGGCATCTGGGGCTTTGTGTACAGAGACAGCAGGTGACACTGGAATGGTGTTAGAATAGCTGGAATTGCCATTCACTAAAGCAAGCAAACATTTTCAGTCTACCGGTTATGCTCTAAACTCAGAATTAACTGGGAAGGCAAGCCACTAACTGGGAGATACTGGAAGTGAACCTAGCAGCAGACAACCGACTAATGCAAAGGGCAAATGAGGTACCAGTAGCACCTGCAAGAACAAGCATTACCAAAGATGCCACAGAGCACATCAATCACATACAGCACCACTACAAGTCACTTTCTGAGTCCCTTTCTCCAACATACACAGATGAATCTGACATTAATCATTCTGGCTACTAGCAAGCAATCAATTACTGTGGTAACTGCAACTTCAGACCTCAAGCATCAAAGCAAGGTCATCAAGAGGTAGCAGAGAGCCTGGAAAGCATTAACACACTCAAACACAGTAACACTCCCTATCCACTGCTGTTTTCCTGAATGAAATATCATTATTAACCTTCACCTCACCATCCATTTGGGCTGAAATGTATTTATTATATATTACCTAGTTTCTGAATTGTTCATCTCCTGCAGGGAGGCTGTAGACTAATCCTCAGGAATGGTGAAAAGTTTACAATGTTACAAAATAAAAAAATAAAAAAAAAATAAACAAACCCAGAAAAAAAACCAAACCACAACGTTAAGAGGAATAGAAATTTTTGTACTGAAGGAGCTGTGCGAAAGTACATCTAACTCTGTTTATGAAGATGGAACGCCTGAACAAGCCCAATTTTACTTTAAATGGTTCTAGAAGCAGTAACAAGGTAGAAAAGAAATAGTTAAAAATAAGAGTCAGACTTTTGTAACTTCCCCAAGGTGACCAGTACCAAAGCAAGGTCAGCAAGAGGAAGTAGAAGAATTGGGGATGTGCTCCATTTTTTCCACCTACCTGTCCCTGGCAAGTGAAGAAAGCTCTTGCTACTCAAAGTTCGAGGAACTAATTCTCCAGACTTAAGTCTCACTAGAAGGTGGGTGGTTTTGATTTAGTCTCAACTTGCCATTTAATTATTGTATTTGTAGCTATGTAAAAGGAACAAATGTAAATAAAAAACAATCAAAAAAGGACTACCTAACATATCTGATAAGATACCAATGGACCTCTACTTTTCTGTAAAGGGAAAATAAGGTTTCTTTTGAGGGGTCTGGGAGAGGGTATCTCACAGAGGCTGTTCTCTACTGCAGTACTGCTATTAATTTACAATTTAAGAGAGGAGTCCACATAATTCAGTATGACAGATTCAACAGCTATTTCACAATTATGTTGGAATGTCTGTACAAGAAGTTTGCAGAAGTCTAACACATTTACAGGAAGCATTATCCCTGAAGACTACATGGTTCTACATAGTAAACCGCCCAAGGCACCTGACCCTCTCCTACAACAGCATGACGTTGTGAACAAATACTGGATCCATGCCAGTCACCACACAGGCTGCACCTTCCAACTTTTGATGCTACCAAGCACCACCACAAAATCTTTGAGACTGCTTAACTGCTTCTGTTGGCGTGACTGAAAGAATCCTGGTTTAAGAAAAAAATCCAAAGCACTTTTGATTCAAGGCTTTATTTACAGTGTCCTTAAAAGGACACAACTACTTAAGAAGCTATTTTGTCTTATTAACACAAGTAGTCTAAGTACCATTATATAAAATTCTAAGTATAAGAATGATTGCACACAGTTGCACTACTGCATACAGCTCCATATGTTCCAAACATAAAAGTGTGGGGATGGGAGTTGGGGGTTGTTTAGTCTGGAGAAGAGAAGGCCCACCAGGAGGACCTTATTATTCTCTACAACTAAATGAAAGGAGGTTGTAGTGAAGTGGGGGTTGGTCTCTTCTCCCATGTAACAAGTGATAGGACAAGAGGTGACGGCCTCAAGCTGCGCCAGGGGAGGTTTAGATTGGATATTAGAAAAATTTCTTCACTGAAAGGGTGATCAGGCATTGGAACAGGCTGCCCAGGGCAGTGGTGGAATCACCATCCTTGGAAGTGTTCAAAAAACTTGTAGATGAGGCCTTTGGTGACACGGTTTAGTGGTGGACTTGGCAGCCCTGGGCTAATGGCTGGACCTGATGATCTTGAAGGTCTTTTCCAACCTGGTTGATTCTATGATTCTAAGATACAAGTCTGGATGGCCGTTTTCCCAAGTTAATTGTCACAGCTGAAAAGACTAACAAGCCAGGTTACCAACTCCCAGAAAGGTATTTCTGCTAGGAAATTCTTGAGAATTCCTGTACAGAAGGCATACTGAAAATGTAAATCTTGAAAATGGAGAGAGGTAAGTGATTCTCAATGATCTAAAAGGACTGCAGAAAATAAATGGATCATCCTTAGCATGGAAAAATGAGTCAATTTGTCAAGAAGCTGTGTTGTACACAGGACACCATTTTTTTGTATTCCATCTTCTGTTCCTTTACCCCATATTCTCCATGAAGAAACATTATGGGTAATCTTTTCCTTTCTCTATGATCCTATTTCTGAACAAGAACTCAGCACATCCTCTTCTTCAAGTCCACCCTTGCATCAGCACCCACAACCTTTCTTGCTATGCTTCAGAGAGCACTGTAGGTTTTACCCATAAAAGGAGAAAAAAACCCCACATCTTAACATCCAGTAGGGAAATAAAAAAAAAAAATCAACAAAAAGCCTGCAACAGTGGAAAAATACTAGGAGTATTAGAGCATGTTACTAGGAACACAGGGCTATAGACAATTACTAGCAGTATAGAGATGTTTCCTATTATCTGACAGAGCAGATCCCCAAAAGGCTTTTTCAATTTCCAGTTATACACAGAACAGCTGAGAAGATATATAGGTGGTGAGTCCCTACTGCGTGTTAACAGGGATGAGGAAAGGAATAAATCAATTCTAGAGGTAGCAAAGATTCATTAGTAATAG